CAGCACTTGAGTGCCGTCTGGAGGCACTCTTCGTCCGTTGAACTAGGGCTCTCTTCCTGGATGATCTTGAAAGCTCTTTTCAACTGCTGGTGTGATCTTTCTACCTTGCCAATACTGTGGTGCGCTTCGACAGGGACGACTTTCAGTTGGATGCCGTATGAAGTGGCATTCTCCCTGAATTCCGCCGACTTGAAGCTGGTGCCGGCATCGGTTCTGATGCCGTCTGGTGGACCTTGGTATGTATCGATCCAACAGCGCTTCAGCGTTGCCCACACGGTCTTGGCTTGTATATCTCGAAGGAATTGGCCTCCTTGGAATGATGTGGCTTCATCGATTATATGGAGTACTGGTCGACTGTTCAAATAGAAGATATCAACGACGATTTCCCAATTGAAGTTGAGGTCGTCGTGTAATTTGAACTTGAATCTGCGCGGGCTCTGGGCGTTCATTTGGCACTGGTGGCACACCATCGTCAATTGCTCTAGAGCCCCTATTTCCACATCGTTCCCTGAATGTTTGAGGAGATTGTATAGTCTCGTCGCCGACGGGATGGCCGAATCGTCGATGTAGTCGCTTGAGTTCACTTTCCGTCAAGTAATTGATGGACTTGACGTCTGGTTCAAGCTTCATAAACGCGTGCCCCCATCGTCGATCGACGAGCTCAGAGTGCTTTCCATTGGACATTCTATTCCTTGTGTTGTCAAACACAATGCCCAATTTATCCATGTCGTTCAGGCATAGGAGGAATGGTGTATTGACGGGTAGAATGTGGAAAATCATCGTTCCGAATCGTGTATTTACATCCACAGTACCTAAGGCACTTATCTCTTCCCCTGGGCCGAAACTGATCCTCGCAATGCCCGCGTTTGTAGTGTTGAGGGTCACTGGTGAGATCTTTTGGAGTGCGTGGAATTGTCCCTTGCCCCCCGTCGACCATTGTGATGCCCCGGTATCTGGAATAATCCCGTGGAAGGTTTCCGAGCCATACCTTTCGCTGGCATGGAATGCTTGCACTGGATTACCGTAGAACCCTCCTGGTGGGTATAAATTGCGTGCTTGTAAGCCCATCGTTCTCTTTTCCTCCCCAGGCCCTTTGACCTTAGTGCGAGCCATGGCTGCGGTATTAGCATTCGTGTCCCCCGTGCTGCTGAGCGTTGTCGTTGGCTGAGGGACCTTCCCTTGCCAACCATGGAGGAAAGCCTGCTCATTTAGGGCTTGTACCGCTCTCTGTTCGTTCAGCATTGTATATCCTCCTGAGGTTGACGGGGCGAAGAAAGAATGGGTGACATCGTTAACTTCGTCGAAGTCGAGGTCTTGAGTGTACGGGGTAAGATCTTCCTCGCTCTCAGACGACTCGATTGCGTTCGTTGGATGGTCCTCGTAGACCACCAGGAATTGGTTGAATCGATCATGGCCCGTCTTGCCTTGTGTGCCCTTTGCCTTTCTGTATTGGTCGTACGACTTGGCGCGTTCCTCATCAGAGTGGTTGCTTGACCAACAACCCTCCTTTTTGCATATAAAGCACTTCCCTTTCCGCGGTGCTCGGTTGGTGTTGGACCAGCGCCCCCCTGAGGAGTCTGTTCCTCCCCCCTGGCGGTTGCCATACCTTGCCTCTCTTCCTTTGCCATTGTACGTGCGGTCCACCCAGTGCTGTTGGTGAGGGCCTTCGTGAGATTGGAGGTGAGTCTGATTTGGCATCCTGGCTTCGATGTTGAAGCTGGACCTCAGCCTCGAGCACAGCGTCTCGTAGTCCTCAGGCGGTTGATGTAGAGTCATCTTTGCCTCTGGTACCCTCTGTACCGCCGTACATAGATAACCGACCTTTCGCTCATTGGTCCCCTCATTTGGCTGCGTCCTCGCCAGTTTGTCGATCCTGTCGATGAGCTCCTCGAGGATCTCAATTCTCGACTTTCCTTCCATTGTTCTGGCTACAGAGCTAAATGACAATGCCCTCAGCTCCGAGAGGAGCTCGAGGCTCCTATCTTGGGTCTCGAATCGACTTCGGATTGTGTCAACGATGCTGAGAAAGTCGGTTCGATCGATATTACGCACCGCTTGATAGTAGTACTCGGCAGCTTTCCCTGTCAGTATGACATTGACTACCGAATGATATTGGTGTTCTCGGATGCCGACTTTTTCGCAGTAGTCGTAGAACATCGTGAGGGTTTCTTGCAGGACCTCATATCTCCCCCCTGAGTACAATTTCTCTTTTGGAAAGATCTTCTTTAGGTCAGTGAACTGTCTTGTGCTGGCTACCGCTGGATCGTTCTCTTCGCGTGCTTCTCGTGCGGCAGCGTAATTGGGTGGTGTCTGCATTGTCGACCTCGTACTTTGTTGGGTGCTTGGGATCAATCCTCGGATTGGTATTGTCGTTGGGGTCGTCACCGCGATGGGCGGAATCGTCGTCTGACGCGCCTCCGGTGTGATCCCCCTTGTCTGCGCTAGATTGGGCGCCGCGATGTTACCGTTGGTGATCTTCAGCAGAAAGTCCGGTTGGTTCACTCGTCTGCTGAATTCTTCGTACTTTGACACTGCTCTGTCGATCTGATTCTGGTCCCATGGCGTGAAGTCCTCTGCGGCTACTGTCGCTGCGAGTGTCTCGTGGGCCTTTCGCCTTGCCCCTTGGGCTGGCAGAACGCCTCGGCAGTGGAGGAATCTGTTCACCTCCTTGACGACACCGGGATTAGCGCTGGCGAACCATTCATCTTTCCAGTCGCCTAGGTCGTCTACGACTCTGTAGAACAGGGGTTGCCCTTCGAGCCCCTTGCGGGCGTACATCTCCATAATGAAGACTAACGCCGCATCAATTTGCTCGCCATTGGGGTGGTCTGAGTCTCGATATGACCATTTCCCCCAGTACTCCGGATTAATCTCAACCCAATCTTCTGGGATGGGAGTCCTTCCGCGCGTTCTGCGTGCTGACTCGCCCCCTGTCGTCCCTTGGCTTGTGCTTCTGTTTGTAGGGGCCGGCGTGTTTGATCTTGATGGGGATGTGTCAGATCCGCTTGTTGGTCGTGGTAGCAGCGCACTGTCGTCGCTCGCCGTGTTTGTCGGGGTCTGGGAGCTTCCCGCGGCCTCCAACCTCCTTGCGGCGAGCCTCGTCACCATCTGCTCTTGGTCTTCTGAATTGGCCGCCATGTTTCTTGTTGACGGTTTTCTCTTCCTGTGGCGTACCCTATCGTATAAGAGAGGTCTTCCGGTGGCCCTCTCTTCGTGTTCTCTCCTCAGACGTCTTCTTGGCTTTCTCCCGTGCCAACTGGGGCAACAGGCTCTTTCTTTGCCTTCGTAGCTCGGCGAGGATGTGTAGTCTGAAGAATTGGGTACCTCACACCCCTTTACGGGGTGAGCGTTGTGATGCTTCTGAATCCCTTCCTTCCTCGTCTCAACTCCGCCTGGCTCTTATTCCTTCGGAACAGCCGAGGGGTGGTGGGTGTAGGTGAGAAGGGGAAGCTTGACCTTGGAATCTCGAAGTCGGTCTTGATGATGGCGATATCGCCGTCGATCCCGGTAGCCTCCTCGGATTCGACCAAGAAATACGCCTGGAGCTACCGGCGGGGTCTGGTTCCTACCTGAACACCCTATTGCCTTGAAAGTTTGTTTCTGTGGTCCTGAGGTGCCTTTTTATATCCTCCAATTGGGCCTGTTTCGTCGTACGGTCGAGATCTGCGGTGGATTTGCCAATCTGGCGAATCTGGTGATTTCGCTTGTTTTCCTCTGTTGGCGTACGGGCCGCCCGTGGATTGTTGAGTAGGACAAATCGCGTGAGGGCGACGTAGGTAGCTTGGTCGCCTTCTCGCGATTCCTTCAATTGCGGTTTGTTTTTGACGTGATGGACGTCGACCTTTCGTGGGCAGTCAAGGGCTGCGATTCCTCTACTTCGTTCCGTCGTAGAGATTCGCGTCTTGTCGCCTGCTTTCCGTCGGGTAGGTAGCACGATTCTCCTGTCGCGTTCCGTTCGAGGAGGTCGTCTCTTCTGCTTGCGAGATGCCTTGCTGATCTGCGATAGTGGGATTTAACCACTGATCAGTGTTGGTATTCCTATCACAGGGATGGTTCGAACCGTGGGTGACGAAGAGGTCAAAATCTATATATATTTAACTTCTGCGTAAGGTGTAAAAAGGAGGTTCTAACCGGAGGTTGGGTAGACCGTAGATCTCGTAAGTATGGTCTGTAAGTGGCCCCTGCGCGGGCCCCTTGCCTCGAGGTCGAATTGGACTTCCAATCCGACAGTAGTCGATACGAATGGTTGCCACGAAAGTCATTCAGTCTTCACGCGAACGGATAGCAGACTAGATATGGAGGGAATCCGTGGCATTGTTCTATCGAGATCCATGTCCCCGTCTAGAGCCGGTGACATCTCTTCAAATACCAAAAAGAAAAAGCTGAGCGTAAGTGTCGACCCAATCCTTGGAGTGTGGCAGCCCGTAAGACGATGGCTTGCTCCCCATGTTCCCGGCGTCACTCTCCCAAACTCCCTAAACCCAGCCAGGCGCGAGAACCATTGGCGCCCCCTTTACCCCCCTTTTAAGCGGGAACAAAGGCTACCTCAAGCACGCCTTCCGCTGGATTCACAAGTCCATCTCTCCTCACGGCAACCTCCCATCTCCCCCCAAGGTCCGTCTCTGCCGACAACCGAATCGCCTAGCGAACAGCTTGCAATAGATCGTAAAAACACACACAGAGAGACGTGACCTTTGTTCGTGTGTTCTGTCCCCTATTGCTTGCCGAACAAGTAGTGGAAAAAAGAAAAAAAAAAGTTGGTAAAATCGCAAGGAAAAAGCCCATCAGGGTCCCCCGGCGAGGGGGAATCCCCCATAAAGATTCCCAACTCCGTTACGCCATTTGGTATATCCGTTCATGGCATCCATGAAAATAAAAATCGCTTGTCGGTAAACAGCAAGTTCGTCTGTTTGTTCTTTAAATCATCTCGCACGTTCGCTTATCGCTTTATCGCAAAGCACAACATGTTTGAAACGTAGCAAAGCGTTTTCTGTTTTCTTTTACATGCGCGAGGGCTGGTTGAGGACGTTGAAACCCATGGGACCGACGGGGACCGTTCTCTTGGTCTCGATGCCGTGCTCGAGATCGTAGCGGTAGGTGGGTGGGTTTCCGACCTCGCGGAGGGCCCTCTTGACTCTTGATCGGAGGGAGCGGCGTTCCTTGACGGCGGGTGCTGCTGTCAGGGCGGGGTCCTTTTCAAAGGATTCCTTTTCAAGGGAGCAGATGGTTGAGGTCTCGGAGAAGGTGGAGGGTGCGTATGTTGCTTTGGCCATGGTTGCGGTTTGGGGGGTTTTGGATGGTGGTCGTGGGGTTGATGGTGATTTTGGCGGTAGTGTTGTTATCGAGAGTGGGTTGAGGGAGAATCGTGGTTGGTGAATGTGGTGATGGGTAGCTTCTTGTAGTTTGCTAGTGTCTGATTGATGGACGGTAGTAGAAAGGCTGATTGATTGCTGACGCAGGCCAAGATCAAGAGTTGGTAGGTTGGCTGGGCGTGGCATCCTCTATATACTTGGTATGTGTTTCCAAAACGACGCGATGCACCGCCCCAAATGCCATGGCACGCAATGTCACTGTATCCTGCATTCTCCATCCTCTATCCTCTATCAAAAGTATCAAAGTATCCAAGTACTCTTTTCGTAGGACTCACTCAGGTCATCTATTCCAAGCAAAAGCCGACGGCGTGGTTTGGGGCCTACCAAAACGGGCGCAGAAACCTGAACAAGCATCTTCCCCAATCCGGCCATCTCTCGTCCCAACCCAAGCCATCCCATCCCATCATCCACGCATCGCAGCACACACACTCGCACACACACACGCAACTTGCACACGCACCACACGTATCCTCCCAGATTCCGTCACTGGGAGAATCCCCCCCCTCCCTGGTCCTATCCCAAGGCATCCAACTAGGGCCTCCGTGGCCGATATCTGCCATTGACGGCTAAACCCCAACAGGTAAGTAAGACTGCCGAAGGGGATCCCTTTACAGGCAAGAAACTACGCCGGTTCGCGTCAGTTTGTCAATGCGTCAAACTGCCCCCTCTATCCTAGATCCTCTAGCGGTAGCCTCGAAGCTTACTCTCTCCCTACGTACGGTGTTAGGTAGGCACCTATTGCTTCGAGCTTGCCAGTTGCCCAGCACTTCAGCAGTGTCACTCTAGTTCTTCTTTTTTCCGATATACTTCGGCCGTGAGTCACTTGGCGCAAGGCTCAACCCTGACATGCGTCCGCCTGCATCCGACTTGCTTCGCCATACTCCCTCGCATGGATCACAAGAGCATCACGGCGTGCGTGCCTTGGCTGGGCAAAGTCCCCTTTCCGTACGGGCGGCAGGGCGGCAAGGCGGCAATCGAAAATCAATTTCAATGCGAGGCAAGGAAAGAGGAGAAAATCTCATTCATCCGATCGTCGCAATAACTGACAAGCTGTGGAAGGGAAAAAAGTTTGTTTTCTTTTTTTTTCTTTTCGTTCTAATTATTGCGAAACCAAAATGCCACTTTGGCATCTTGGCGAACCCTCCGTACAACTCAGCCCCAAGCCATCGGGCAGTTGGCGGACGCACCATTTCAACCACCATTGATTGAGGCTTTCCTACGCACCTTGTCGTGGAAATTTCGCGTCGCTATTTCGCTTTCGCACTAGGTCACACTTACATTGCAATCGCTGTGGACACGAAATAGACTCAGGGTGGCTATGCAACGCAATCACTTTACGACGTCAATGTCATACCGAATTAACTTGCAGAGCATACTCTATGGATACATACAGAAATTGAGATTTTTCCCCGGTCCCGCGGTAGCGGGTTCCACGGACCACGACAGCAGATCAACGGCCAACGCGGCCGTTCGGTACCCGGCACCGCTACCGGCAAAATAAGCGTCAGATTCGAGGCCCCCCCCTCCCTGCCTACAGGCTACGCAAACCAACAGGCACCAGACAACCACAGCAACTCTAGCGTAGGAAATTACGTCGTACGAATACCTCCCCCTAGGACAATAGGACTCGTAACTTGGGATTGTTACAATGTAAGACGGCAAGATGCACCACCGTCGGCTGTGGATACCTACCATTTGGTAGACGTTGTAGAGACAGAGCGTCTCAGACTCTCAGTCAGGACTACAGTGAGAAGATCTCGCCGCCGGTGAGATTTTTTCCCCAGTCGTGAGTCACCCAACCGCCCGCCATTCGTTACAGAAACACACAAAACACCATTTAAAAAAAATTATTGGCGTTTAATCTGCCCTGTTTAGGAATGGCTCTCCACTACGTAAACTACGCAGTACAGGTCTAGGACGCGACCCCGTTTCTACCTTGTGTTGTGGACTTCCCACGATAGTTACCTCAAATTTCTCTCCCCTCTCGGCGAGCCAGAAACAGGAACGATCAATCGGATCAGCAGTAATACGGGGCAACCGTGACGTTTACTCTGTACGAATACCGGCCGGTATGCGTACCCCGGGTCCCAATCAGCCCCAGTGCGGAACGCTGTACTACGAATGGGTAGGTAATATTGCATAAGGGACTTTGGTGTTTGGGGACGCCCGATGACTCCTCACCCTTAACCACCACCATACCCCAAATGAGTTTGCCCAGTTTCTCGCATAATGTCGCAGCCTACCCTACGGTGAGTACTCAGTACGGATACAACGTCCGCGTCAGGCAGATACTCCACCAAAACACGGCTGTGAGAAAAGTCCTGCATTCCCCAGTCATGATGGTTCCATACTAAGAATCCAAAAGTAAGCAGTTCATCCTCGGCCGGTTAGAGCCAGAAAGAAAAAAAACCTCCAGCAAAAGATCTTTGCGCGAGACGGATGAACGACGTGTCACAAGTCCGACAAATCCCCCGTTGGCACCCCCCCGTTAACCCAACCCTCCAAGAACAAGCACCCATGTCACGTAGGTAGTCATCCAATTCGAAGCAGTCGTCGTCACACACGCGGCTCTGCAAGTCCTCAAACCACCCTATGAAAAAAAAAAAAAAAAAAAAAAAAAAAAAGCTTGTCTTCCCGTACGATCTTTCCGAGTCTCTCGGCAGGCTAGCCTCCCTTCCTTCCTACCGGCTTGGCTTCCCGGACAGAGACCCGTCTTACCCATACATGAGGCCCACCTCCTGGGCTGAAACCCGTGCCTCCTCTGTTGACCGTAGTCCTGCATGCTACGTAGGTGGCTACCGTACCATCGGGGCCAGGCTACTATTATGCTTCGACGGGAAATAGCCGGCCGGCCAGCGGAGATGGGGCGCGGGATGGAATGTCCTCAGGCTTCCGTGACTTCTGCCTAACTGACATTTGGTTCCTCCAAGATAACACAACTTTAATGAATTTGACGAAGTTTCAAGTGACGGGTCAACAAGAGGGGGTCAAGAGTGTATCAAAGAATCGATGTGTCAACCTCGTGCATGGTGTTTGCGGGTCGAAATTCTTGCAATCTGGATAGACTAGAGGCCGTAGAGCAAGGTAGCTTTGGAGGCTTTTCACGCCGTTCCTCTCCCAACTCCAATATCATCTCGTGGACACATCCTTGTCCTCCTAGGACTTGAGCACTTCTCAAGCCACAGTAACGTCAAAACGTAGTCTTGCGACTTCTCACCTCAGTCAAGCTTCGAGCTCTTCCTCCTGTTGCAGTGAGGACACAAAAGTCCTGCCCCCCCCCCCGTCCTCTCGCAGATCCAGGGATCTCGTGTTGCCCAGTTCCTATCGGAACACACCTCTACGTTTCTAGATACATGCCGTCAGAATATGATTGACCACCAAGAAAGAAAACTTGACCAGGCTTTTCGTGCAGGGACAAACGTTCTCGTCGTTCCCTAGAGCACCTGGGGATTTCGTCAATTGACTCGGTATTACACCCCCAAATATCACAAGAGGTCGAAAGACTCGATTCAACAAAGGGGGTCCAGTGCGATGTTCGATGATGGTGGCATCCTCAGCATTGAAGTGTACAACCCCTTTGTGATTCACTCTTCGCCATCGAACCTCGCTCTCATTCTAAGTTTCCATATCCCTCTTCCTGCAATACGCCAGGCATGGGAAGACGGAAGAGGAAGAGAAGACACAAGGTAGAACCATTTGGCTCAGGTCCAGCAATCAAAGCAAACTCTCATAGGGTCATCATGCATTCATAAGTATTCAATGTATCCTATCCCAGGTAACCTCTCACGAAACCTGCTCCTCAGCCCCTCCCTCCATCACACCACCATCCTGCTCAACCTCCTCCCCAGAAGGCTTCTCCCTCTCACCCTCAGCCTCAACTTCATCCTCCCCCTCCTCCGCCGGACGCCACACATCCCCCCTCAACAACGTACACGCAGCATCCAGCATATCCCGATGCTCACAACCCACAATCTCACAAAACGTAGATGCAACGCTCATCGTCAACCCAGGAAGCACACTAGGATCCCCGGCCTCCCACCGCCTCATCTCGTCAAAGGTATCATCCAACAGCAGCCTCGCGTGGTGCCGCCCGTCCTCGTCGCCCGCTACTTTACCATACAAGAAAAACACGCCGTGCCGGATCGTGTTCTCCGCCATGCAGACGCCCATCTCGATAATCTCGGCCCGGCCTAGCCCGTTGGTCGTGGGCGCCCTGTCTCTTCGGTACCCTTGACTAGCGAGGTGTCCAAGGACTACTATGCCCGCGAGCTCGTCGACGCGTAGGCCGCGGACGTGGGCGATTTGGCGGAACCGCACGTCCTGGCGGTTGGACTCGTGGACTTCCCTGAGGGCCAGGTGCCAGCCGTCGGGGGGCGGAGCGTCGTGGAGGATGATTTCTTGATGGATCAGAGACTTGACGCAGGGGTCGCGGCGCGGGATGATGCCGTCCCTGTACCGTATTGAATGTGTTTCCAAGTCGGCGATTGTCGAGCATTGCCATAGTGCTCTCTTCAGGTTCGAGCGGATCGTGTCTGCTTTTGTCACATCCTGGAGCCCGTACTCTTCCCAGAAGGCTAGGTATGTGCCGTGGATAATCTCCTCAATGTGTCGGTGCCGAGTCTCTAGCTCTCGGATGGTATCAAAGGTGTCTTTTGGCAGCACCTCCCGCTCGCGGGTATCGGAGGCGAGGATGTGGTTACATGGTGCGCAGGGGTACCGGGCGGCGTTGAGCCTTGTTACGGTGTGCTGGTAGCTATCCAGCAGGGCGCGGTTGGTCTTACAGGTAGCTCGGAGAGCTTGTATCTGGGCAAAGTCTGCATGCTCTGCTACGAGAAGGAGAAGGTGGCCGGGTAAGAGTGAAGACATTGTATCCAAAATTTAGATGATAGTAAGGTGTTGTAGGTGAATGTTGGAGTAGAGGTTGTACAAAACACAGTTGGATGAACAGGGATGATTCCCGATCAACCTCGATCAGCCTGTGATTGCCCTCTGAGATGTTTGGCTGTAACAGTAGGTAGCAGGAAGTGAGCCAGTGTCGCTCTTGGATCTTCTGACTCCTCCGTCGCTCTTGCTGCCCTGTGCTGTACTGCCAACCTCGACTGTCCTGGTGTTCAGACTTGCGCCAGAGTATGCGAATAGTGAATATGTGGGAGTAAATGCAAGAAATTGAAGTAGAAGTGATTCGATGTAATGTTCTATAAAAACCGAGTTCGTGATGCGGTGACGGTTGCAGGAGGTAGACCAGTGGTGTATAAGTATGCAGGGCTGAGTACGTCCTGAATCACCTCTGAATAAGGATGTGATGAGATGGTTGACAAGAGCAGTGATTTACAATTCACACCCAATTATCTGAAAGGTTTTCAATTTGAAAGTTGACTAGTTGGGATGAAAATAGGAGAGACCATGCATCAGAGATATAGCATCGCAAGTACAAGTGAAGTGCGCACCCGGCTGTCCTTCAACGACGTCGCGACCGGCCATCCAGGTCCTCACTTGACGACACAGCTGTCGCACTCCGCCCCAGATTTTGTCCAAGTCAAAAAATGGTGTCAGAGATCATCAAAGAGGACAATACAGTAGTGCGGTATTTTGATTCATGGAATGGACCCATCTTGGAAACTGGTGCAGTATGTAACCTGGTTGGTCTGGCCAAGACATATGAGGTGCATCGTGACAGTTGCGCGAGGAGGAAGGAGGGGCACGGGTAGCCCCTCTCTCATGATTCAACCCCTGCCCCTCAGTGATGGCTTTTGATGAGAACACTTAATCCGCACTCAAAGAAGATGGATGATAAGACTGTAGTCATCCCAAAGATGAAAAGAAAGAGTGGTCATCTTCGGTCGTTAAACGGCCTTTGTTGATAGTCAGAGGGAAGGAACCCTAATCAAACTCAAAGCGAGTCGCGCTTCTGATTCCTGTGAGGGTTTCGACTTCGCCCCGTACAGACTAGATATGATGATGTCGCCGACCTCAGCAATCTTGGCAGGGTAATGGGCCAAAGAGATATCTTCGCAATCCCGACATAGCTGCATGGCCTCATGACAATTATTCCTACAGAAGGAGCAACATGATAGCGGCTTGTTGCCGAATGGATCATAGTCCAGAAGCACACGAAAGCAAGGCACAAGCTGACAGCGAACCACTTGCGTGTATATACAACCACACATTGAGATGATGCCAGGTTGCCAGCGTCGCCACGACATCTTCAACTACACTACTCATACACGTCCCTCATCATTACGGGGCTTGCGCAGATGTCTGCAGTGCGCTTCGTCCAACATCAAGGCGTAGGCGAAAGCCTATATCGCCGCCCTGAGTCCTCGCCGCAGAGGGCGCACGAGTTCAACCGATCCCCAACGCCAAAATATGCAATGTCCACCACTGGGGTACCCACCACCAGTTTGAATTCCCGTTGTCCCCTAGGTAATGCCCGCCTCGCCTACGCGACGATGATGCCGTATGGTGGGAGTCGAGCCAATGTAGAAATGAAATGCGAACGGCTCAAGAGGACTAGTTGTTCTTCTGGCTGTTGGCAGACCGTTCCTTCATCTCCACCTTCTTCTGCCCAAGATCAACGATCCTGGGTACCAACTTCTTCTGGTCGTCAAGCTCGATGATATCGTCGCCTCCGCCTATGCTCACACTATTTACCAAGATGTTGGGGACAGTCTTTCGACCAGTCTTCTCGCCGAGGAATGCCTGCAGCTGAGGGCCAAGAGGGTGTTTATCCAGTTCGACGACGTATGGTGTAGGTTCGATCGAGTACTTTTCAAGCAACAATGCCTTGGCCTTCTTCGAGTAAGGGCAGTAAGACTTGGAAAAGATGATGACTTGGCTGGGTTAGCTGGCATTCGTTTCGGGGGTCTTGACATCAATGTACCTGGGGACTTCTTCAAGATGGTGTTCAGCTCAACCTCGACAGCATGCTCCTCGTCGCTCTCATCCTTCTTCTCCTCTTCGTCACTCTCGGTAACTTCTTTGCCGTTGGCCGTCTTTTCCTTCTTCTTTTGTCCAGCAGCAGAGTTGCCCTTTCCGACAACGTCGCTAGGCGCATCAGGCTTCAGAGGTGATTTCTTGTTGGCAAGTTCCTTGGCCTTGTCTTCGGCAGCCTTCAGGCGTCCTTGCATATCCTTGGCAAGCTTCTCGTCGTCGGCGTCAACGTCGCCATCGGCATCTTTGTCAACAGGCACGTGGCCAGCTACCTTGGGCTTATTCCCTTCTAGCACCGCCTGACCCGGCGGTTGTTTGTGTTTCAACCCATTGACTGTCTTGTGGTAGAAATCTTGAATGGTCCGCTCGTCCTTGACCTCGTTCGCTCGCAAGGAAGATGTGTAGAAAAGAACGAAAACGACACCAATTAGCACACCCACGAGAAGGGTGCGCAACTGCCGTTGCGAAGGCATGTCGAAGATTTCGTGTCGCGAAACGGCCGACAATTGCAAGGGTACTCAGATGCGACGTGGAAACGGAATCGAAAGATCGGTATCGAAGTGGTGCTCAGGAAACGTCGCAAACACTTGGATGCCGAGCGGCAGGATGGTACAACAGGCGTTGCGTCCCTTGTTGGGCTTTGTCGGGAAATGCCACGCTGGCAAGGAGTCGACAATGGACGGGATCAAAATCGAGGAATGGCTGTCGATGTGATGCTCCCTTTTGTGTAACGGAGCAGAAGCCCAAGCGTACCGGAGCTCCCCCAGTAATTGGCGCTTTGAACAGGACGTTTCGAAGCCGGGGGTGATATGACAGGTTAAGGGATTGGAGTAAGTTCCCCAGTGTCGGCGCAAGGGCTGTAAAGGCTCGTCGGTTATCGCAAGTAAAGGTCTAGTGTTTGTTAATTGTCTGGTGTCGGAAAAGGTGTACGTGGTTGTAGGCGTCGCGCGCTGCTATCGTGAAGTCGAGAAGTGTCAAAAGGGGATAAAGGAGATGGATGGTAGGTGAGCTAGGTCGAAGTGGGATCGACAATTTGGCTCCCGTGACTAACGACTGGGTGCTGTCAATGGAAGGCAAGTGAGCAGGCAGGCTGGGCAGGCGAGACAGGTAGAATATACGCGATGTGCAACGGTGTCGAGCGGGTAGGAGCCAGGTCGACACTACCTCGGAAATGGGCTGGCTGCTTTGCTGGCTTCCTGGGGAAGCTGCATCACCCACTGGGCCAATCCCCGAAGCCAAACCGCGACGGAAAATACCCGGGCCACGTTGAGCGCGCCAAGATTAAAGTACCTCGAACCCCCGTGGATACGTAGATAGGTACGTAGGTACTCCATAGGTAAGGTACCTTATCTGCACATCACCCATCGCCATCTGTGGTCACCTCAGCTTCGGTGGAGCTCCGGCTTTATGCACCAATCAGTGGGACCGGGAAAGACTGTGTGCACTGATTATGTAAACTGTCAATCACACAGCAAAGATCGCAGCCAAGAAACAGTGTTCTTCAAATTGCCAACACGGCTCGGGTGATCGTCACCCTGAGAGATCGCGGGCCCGTTCTCCGTGCGCAGAGGAAACATGACGGGACGGCTTGACTCGATTCGAAACAAAACACATGTCGTCTTTTCGCCGCCTGAGCCTTACAAAATCACCGTGACAAGCGGCCAGTCGTCAATCTGCACAATTATCCTGCGACCAACTCCCTCAAGACAACATGTCTGTCAAATTGCCAAGCAATCCGAAGTTGATCAGCACCCCGTCATAACGAAAGGGAGGGCCCTCATCTCGAACCGCCAACGTTTCTTTAGCCGCTTCAGACTGAGAATCGCTGACGAGACGACTATTGTCTCCAAGAGAAATCCGCAAGCCTGCTGTTACTCGGTGCTTACAGGGATGCGGAAGCACTGCTGACACAGTCTCAACAGCAGACTACCAGCTTTCCCTGCACAAAATGGAGAACTTCATCCCCATTCCTGACGCAATCACCGACAATCGCATTTCAGTATCCAATTCTTTTCGAACAATTAGAACAGGTTTGTCGCATCGTTGACGATCAAAATCAAGCAAGGCACTGAAAGGTCAAGACAAGCGTCTACCTAGGCGAACAAAAAAGTGGTATATTCTGCATTCTAAAAATATCGCCAGCCCTATCATCGAGCTATCGTCGCGCGTCCCGCCGATCCCGCGGCGGATTTGGTTCTCCATCTCATCATTTCCGCACACAAACTACCAGGTAGCTTAGTCAACAGCCGCCAGGACCAGGACTATCAAAGTCTGACTTAAAGCCAAATCTAAATACAAGCGTTCGAAATCAGATTCCCTCTCTCTCTCTCGCTCTCTCAAATCTCACGCTGAAATCTGTTATGCTTGACAACAGCGTGAGCACGCAGCAATCGCATCGCAGAGTCAGCGTGCCGGCTGTCAATCACATCCGCGACCGACCTCACGCGGCTTTGCCCTCGACCCATTGCCGCCAGCTTGGCCCGGTCGGGCAACGTTTGCTTGCGGACTGAATTCGTCCTCACCACCCGTAGCTGTGAATCGTCGGAGTCTGAGTCGACATGGTCTGATGCACCGTCATGCTTTGTTGGAGGAGAAGGAGGCGTCACTGTTGATTCAACGTATGGCGACGGTGCTGATGGCTTGTCCGTGGCAATGAGGTTTTGAAATAATGGCACGATGTCTCTGAAAGTCTTCATTGCTTCTGGCTCGGGCTCGACTTTTTTGTTTAACTTTACGTGTTGATGGCTCAAGTGAGCGTGTGTTGCGGCGCGTTCTCTGTGGCGCTGGAGGTGAGAGTGAAGCGACGATGGTGCGGCCTGTGCTTGCGGAGAGAAAAGCAGCAGAATTCCAAAGAGGGCAATGGGCTGCATTATCGTTGGCGGGTTCGAGTGGTGCTGTTTTAAATATGGCTCGATCTCGAGGTGGCTGGCTGGCTCCGGGACTGGGCTTGAGAGAATTCCAGAGCTGAGGTTGGTAAAATATCGTTCCCTTGGCTGTGTGTTGTAACTTTTGGTTGTCTTGAGAGGTCTAGAACGGAACTGAAGGGCGCCCGACGGTTTATATTTCAAGACTCAACGGTTTTCACCTTCAGACATATGACGCAGAGAAGAAAAAAACACCACAAACGTCATCTAACGGTGTCTAAAGTTGGAACAATCACGCCGGCGTCAAACGATAAAAAAAAACCCGCCTTCGATCGGAATGCGGCCCTCCTCCGCCTCGGTGTGCCCTCCCACCTAGGTCAGAACGATTCAGACCCTGTGATGCTTCAAGCAACCGTGTAAGCCGAGCCCTGGGCGCGAAAGCCCCCTTCCAGGGTCTCTGTCTGAGTCAACCCACCCAACCCTTCCCTCACAACAACCACATCTTTCATTAATGACCTCTTCAAAATGCCTGGACACCCCGAAGCCAAGAAAATAGTACAGCACCAGTGCTTCATTCAGTCTTAGGGATTGCCATACCGACTTTTCCATAGGATGCGGAGACTTCAATCGTCAGTCTATGCCCAAATTTTGTGGACGAGTCTGGTTCAAGGGTTATCCGCAGCAGAGAATTTTAATGTCCATCAAACGACACATCATATCTAGCAGTATCATGGGCAAATTATCATACTTGTTCAAGTTGATCATGAAGAAAGCAAAAGTTCTTCCGCTTGTTGGCTTATTTCGCTTCCAGGCTCACTCGTGTTGGTTTTTGTCTGCCTAAGGGTGGAAAAAGAAAGGCACAGCAAGAAGAGGGGAAAAGTGTCATCCGCAGCGATTAGATAAGAAACTTGCCTATTCAGGCCATCACCTCAACTCTGACTGGGCACGCTCGAATTCCCTCACCTCCTCGCCTGTCAACAATAGCCATGCCCTTCTTCTTCTCCTTCTCCTCATGCCCTTCTCCCCTCTCTTTCTCTTCCTCTAACACATTGTTTCTTCCTTTTTCATAGGAAGTTTTCACTTTTTCCTGACTCTGTTTGGCCAAACCCAGGGTCTTTCCGAGACATTTCCTCTCCTTCAGGCTGAAGTAGCCTCCCAGCCCCCCGCAGACATCTCACTTACACACTTTTGCCAATCCAGACCTGCCCCCTTCGGACTCCCCACCCTCCTCTGCACGAAGAATACAACCCTCACCACCCTCTGGAATTCTTGACAAAAGGCACGCCACCGAGTCCCATCAACCGTCAGCAATCTCACCAGGCCTGGACCCTTTGTCGTTGATCACCCGGGACGCAAACTACCCGGTCTCTCCACCTACGCACAACCGAAACGCGCCACAACCGTCGAAAAGCCGAACACAAGACGAGTCAACAAGAACAACCGATAACACCACAATGTCTCACTCCACCGGCGAAGACCCTTCCATTTTCCCCCTCACCGGCGGCTGCGCCTGCGGCAACATCCGCTACTCCCTCAATGCCCCGCCCATGGTCGTCCACTGCTGCCACTGCACCTCCTGCCAGCGTGAGACCGGCACCGCCTTCGCCCTCAACGCCGTCGTCGAGGGAGACGAGGTAACGCTCCTCCCGAGGAGCAAGCCCTCGTCCGCCTCACCGCCGCTGCAGCCGCTGGCGTCGTTCCCAGCGTCTGCCTTTGATGACTGGACTCCCAGGCAGCAGCACCAGCACCAGCACCAGTCCAGACCCGGCGACGCTGTCCACGAGACGAGCGAGAATAGTGACAAGGACAAGAATGATACCAGAAACCACCGCGTCGAGGCAGACATCCCTTCCCCCGTGATCCTCCCCGTCCCCGCCGACTCGGGCGCGCCCCAGCACATTGCTCGCTGTCCCCTCTGTCTCACGCCCGTCTGGAGCAACTATGACGGCACAGGCCCCCTGATGAAGTTCCTCCGCGTCGGCACCCTCGACGCGCCAGCTCTACTAGGCGGTCCGGACGTCCACATTTTTATGCGCAGCAAGCTGCCGTTCATCGAGGTCGCTGACGATGGTAAGCCTCGCTTTGATGAGTTTTATTCTACCAAGGAGGGTGTTTGGACTTCTCAGGGCCTTGCGCGTCGGGAGAAGCTGCTTGTTCGGATCAGAGAGTGGAGGAAGGAGAATGGACTGGATGGATGAGAATGGGCGATCAGAATTGAGCGACAAAGTCAGAAATGGCATGTTTTTGCTTGAGTAATGCTGGAATTCTACTCTTGTCTTTGAAATCCATCCCTGAGTTTTCTTTCTTGCTCTATGTTTCCTTCTTCCTATATTCCAGGGCGAGGACTGACCGGCCAGACGGATCTCGGGGTCAACGCTAGACCAGCTCAAGATACCAAACCAAGTTTCTTGCTACCTATTCAGACTAGGCCTCGGGCGTTGACTATGACCAGGAGGAAGGGATCAGCGATTCAACGTTGACACAAAGGCAGTTGAATCTAGGGAGGCGATGTGAAACGTCCCATATAGCTTTTAGGACTGACCAGTTCCCTGGGTCCGTATAGACTCTTCTGACTAGCTTTCGCGGTCCAGGTCTGGGACTGTCTTAGGTTACTGCCAAGGCCGAAGCAAAGATCCAGGCCCAGGCCCCCTTCAAGGGTTCAATAGAGCACCGATATCAGCTGACTGTAATCCCTTGAACATGTAGCTACTATTGTCATTTTGTCCTGGTTCTTGTTGAAACGTTTGGGGGGACTTGTGAGCTGCGCAACTTCTTCGGCGAGGGAGTATTAGGTCCGGAGGGTCGGTGATCGAGCTTGACTCCTCTCGGGGCAGGCCGTCAATGGGAAGTTCCGGATAGTAGAGGGGAACATCTGGAAGTTTGTCGGGTCGCTGAAAGGGAAACGGGAGGACTCGTGGTCGAGAGTTCCAGGCGAGGGGTGAATGAGGAACTATCTCATGAGGTAGTACGAGCCATGGTTCAGCTTAGAATCCGGAATCTGTCATCAACTTCATGACATAGTCCGATCTATATTATATGCCCAAGCTCGCTCTACCATAAAATTGTGTTCTTATCTGAGTCGCTGCTCACTTTTGTTACGGAGGAAGCGGTGTATCGATCTGCCTGGAATCGATGGCAGTCATCACATACATAGCTATTCAAACATCTGCCTCCTTTCAGGATACAGAGGTCGATAGCTTTGTGCAATGTTACGAATGCATAGATGATGGGAGGCTCTTCTTTTCGTACAAAGATAAACTCGTCGAATATTTCCACACATCTCACACCCTCAAAGAGGCATATGACTTTTCTGTAGGGTATCGTTCCGGAAAAGACAGTTTGCGACCCAGGCCGGACAGCGGAGGAGAGGAAATTCCAACTGTATCTTTATTCTACTTCACATACCTTGGGTAGTATTGGATCAAAATAGCAGGGCAGGTGGTGCTGACCGTGACTTCCCGCCCTTCCCATGAAAGCGTGTCTGCCTGAGGTAGTCCGCGATCTGCCAAAATTTCATCCGATAACCTCTCAGCCACTCACACGTGAACCTGGATACACACTGAAGGATAATACCATCTAGGTCCCATCACTTCCATTCTCGTCACCAGCACGGCAGGCGCCCTCTAGGTCGGGGGTCAGGTCAAACTGTGGCGTGGTGGTGGAATGGTTGATGGTCAACAATTAGTTTTTCGCCCACTAGCCTACTCGACGACAGGCTCCGAGTTCGATTCCCAGCATGAAAACCCAGAGATGTAGCCCCCAGTTCAGCACCGGGGGGTGGAACTCTTTTGTAATCCATGTTTAGAAGTTAAGGGCCATAGTAAATAGCAATCATGCAAGAACCTTTTGCGAATGATCCTTGTACATCCCTTCTGAGAGTCAATTGCCATCATGGGAACGTCAATCTGCCGATAGATCTCAAGCTGCTTAGGTATGTAGAAAGAAAAAGAAGTGAGACAACGTCTTGAGGAGATAGAGTACGTCATCCGGGCCAGTCAAGCCCACCGGACGATACCGCAGCTTTGAACAGTGTTTTGAGACAAGACATATGTGCTAAGACCCGTTTTCCGCCATGTTCTCAGTTGCAAAAAAACACCATGCCTGATTTTTATGAGCAAACAAGGCCTTAAGATGATCATCTATGGTACCCAGACACCCCTTATTATATGATCGGGGTGGCCAAGCTAAGCGTCATGTGACACAATTTTGCGGGGCTTCAGTACATGTCATAGCTAACATTTAGATAATTGCTCCTGAGAGTTTGCGCATAAATGCAGGATAATTGAGATGTAGCCGACCATCATGAATGAGTTGATAAAGATCGCTTATATACCGCCAGGGCTTGTGCTTCATCTGGCTCAACTATGTACGAACAACGCTAAATATATGTACGTGCTGAAGTAAAAGATATTTACGCAGTCTGCATGCCGAAGAGAATGTTCTCCGACACTTACGGAAACGAGCTGGTATCAATATGGACAGTCCTCCATCACCCTACTCGTGAACAACCCGTCATCCATGTGAAAGAGCGCCCTCTTAGATACTCTTAAAGGTGTCCAAGCTAGACAGGGCGGTACCGGGGTACGCGAATAGGGTATTGGAGGGGCAGCTAGAGCCGAGGGCCTGGTTGTTCATCCTGGAAGGTGTTAGCATATTTCATGATCAGTAAAGTGACTTGAGGGATACTCACCATGCGGGCTCCCAGTAGTAAAGGCCCTTTCCGTTGCTGACACCGGCAACGACCTCGGCAACCTTCTTGAGGAAGGTTGTCTGGCCGGCAGCGGAGAAGGGGATGCTCTTGAGATCGCTTGGGAAGGCGTAGGCGGGGCTGGGGCAGCTCGTGGGCCAGTTGGTCTCGGCGACGACAATCTCCTTACCCCATTTGGAGGCCAAGTTGGACAAGCTCGACTTGAGCGCCGCCAGGGTGGCGCCGGATCCGTAAAAGGGGTAGTAGGAGACGCCCATCATGTCAAAGTCGGTCGTCTTGAGCACGTTTTGGGCAAAGAGGCTGGTGTACCAGTTGGCCTGGAGGCTCGAGTCCCAGCCGTTGTCGAGGTGGATCATGATCTTGGGCTTGGGGCTCAGGGTCGAGTCCTTGATGCCGTAGGCGGCCGAGTTGAGGAGCTTGGCGACGTTGTACCAGTTGGACGTCTTGCCCGTGTTGAAGAGTAAGCCGGCGCGGATTTCGTTCCCGATGGAGATGATGGCGGGGGGCACGCCGGCCTTTTGGAAGGCATTGCTGACGTCCAGGGTGTAGTTGTAGAGCCTCCAGCTGAGGTTCTCGATATCCGAGGGCCATCCTGACGGGATGGCCTGCTTGGTCGGGTCGGCCCAAGTGTCGCTGAAGTGCAGGGTGAGGTAGACGGAGAGGCCGGCCGCCTTTGCGCGCTTGGCGAGGGCGAGGTTGTAGTCGAGGTTGTAGTCGCCGTTGGACGGGTTCACCCAGACGCGCTGGCGGACCGAGTTGACGCCGGCGTTCTTGAAGATGGTCTCGAGAGCTTGGGAGGTGCCGGCGCTGCTCTTGTACTTGATGCCGGCCTTCTCCTCGATGGTTGTCGAGGACCAGTCGACGCCCTTGTAGGTTAGGGCGGCGTTGGCCGT